ACTATAAAATAATTGAAATGTTTCTCGAAATGGTAGGTTGTTGACGTATCATTGAAAAAAATCACTCATGTTGATATAGTGATCATGGAAAGAAAAACTCAGTAGTGTTTATATAATTTTACAAAAAGGCGATTACGAACTCAGAATATTTCAAATATTGAATTATGTAGTTGAATAAAACATTTTGGACGGGTCAACATAGATATCGGTGTAAAAGTTAGGCCTATTTCATATTTCTTCTCGGCACTAGAAATAGATCTAATGAAACACAAAGATTTACCTATTAAACAATTGACCTTGATGTAGTCATTAAAAAAGGTGTTTGTGGAGAATGCTGGGTTTAGACAGAGTTTACATAATACTCTGAGCTTGGCAAGACAATAACTAACAATTAACGTTTTTAGGTCAGGTTCTTGATTTCAACTTGATCCTCCTATTTGGTACACGCCCTGGATCCAGCCATTAATAGAAATCGTTATGTAGTAACGCAAGCCAAATGAAGCTAGAAAAGTGCACTCTTCTGTTCAAACTCAGTGAACTAAATGTAATGCACCCCCCAAACTTAAGGTTCTGATTTCAGTCGCTGGTGTAGTCGTGAATGCAGACCACAAAGAAGTTCCATACAACAACGAAATAGCTGTTCGGTCCTGCAAGGATTTAAATGGTTATCCAGTTATTTGTAATCCGGACTGCTTTCAAGTTATAACCTAGCTGCTTTGATCTGTATTAAAAATATTCCCCTAGTACTTGGATATTTTATTCAATTAGTGGCCTATTGAGATTGACGAATAATAGAAATAAACTGCTTCACTCTGTGATTTGATAGTCTTTTAAGCGATCATTGCTAGTCTGTAACATTTTTTATATTTCATGTGCTGCTGTACTCTAGTTATGAAGAAAATACTTCATACACACAAGGAGTTGTATTGATGATGCTCAAATACGTATGACAAGTACTTACTGGATAAGAATGTTATAGTATCAAGATGATCAAGGCATTCTTCAAAACAAAGAGAGGAGCTGATATGGCTTCAGATCATCACTTGGTTGCGGCTGAGATAAAACTGAACCTAAAGAAGCATTGGACAATTCTACATTTACCGTTACAAAAATTTTATATAGATTTGTTCGAGTTGTTACCAAACTCAATGAGTTCTAGCTCTCAGCAATAAGCTCTAAGTCATACAAAATCTACTAGATGAAGAAACCATTATGGTAAACAATCAGAAAGATATTAAAGAAGTGATAACTTCACAGTGAGGTAAGATGCTGAGTCCAACGAATCTTCAGGATTAAAAGTTGATCTTTCTTGATATCCTTAGCAAATCCAAGAAAGGAAGAACAGGAAGACAGCAACTAACAACGATCGAATATGAGCAGGGAACGTCAAGATACAAGCCGAAAACACCGAGACAAACAAGCGAATAAAGAGGAGCGTTGGGGCTAATAAACGGGAATGCTCAGAAGATCTAGCAACAATAGCAGAAAAAGCTGGAAGGGGATTAATATGAGGGAATTTTACTATACAACAAAGAAGCTAGATGGAAAATATAGAAAACCGGAGCAAGAAATCAAGGAAAAGAAGATAAAGCTATCACAGATTCATCAGCAGCGAAATCGGCGGGCAGAGCATTTTGAAAGACTATTGAATAGATCATTTCCTGTTAAATTAACGGGAGCAACAGAATCTGATTTCCTAAGAGATAATACCACACTAGAAATGATCAAAATCAGCAAAGTCATCAAGTAAATCGAGAATAGCAAAGCGGTAGAACTAGACAACGTACCAACAAGCATAAAGATAAATGCAAAGATCCTTCACATTATTTTCAGAAAGGTTTTGAATGAAGAACAAGCATTAAGAGACTGGAAATAAGGATACATTTTCAAGATAGCGCAGAAAGACTTCAACAAGTGTGTGAACTACAGAGGAGTCACAATACTATTAGTATCGGGTAAAGTATTCGGTAGTGTCGCTAAATCGAGTGAAAGTTTTGGTAGACACCCAACTTCGAGATCAACAGGTTGACGTTCGTAAGGATCGAGCATGTACCGACCGAATAGCAACACTTTAAATCATCATTAAACGACGAATTGAATGGAACTTATAGACCAGCTTCCTTGACTATGAATAGTCATATGATGACGTAGATAGAAGAACTTTGTAGGACCTTTTTCAGCACTATAGAGTACCTGAGAATATCGTCAGATCCTTAAGCAACTCACACAAGGAACTGAATCTCAAGATCATTCATTTGCAATACCATATTTACCAGTATAAGGAGACATTCTATCTTTAACATTTGATTCAAATAGGAACTGCTTACAAATTTGTATAAATAATAGTCGTCGCCTAAACCCATTCCCTAACACCATTTTCATTATAGCATGAAATCCATAGTATATCAATATCAGTGGGAAATATATTCACAAACATTATCTCCTCAAAGACAAGAGAAATCTACCTAGCAGTTATTTACTTAAGCAGATAAACAAATTGATAAAGTACCAAGGTAGTTGTATTTCGATAAACAGCTAATTCAACCAAACGTCTTATGATGAAATTTCAATACTTATACATAATACGTCATTTCATGATTGCATACTTTTCATTAATTATCGTTTTCCATGTTAACAAAGTCTAGTTGACCTATTTTCATTGTTTATAGAAAGAGAGCATTTTGCACCTTTCACATATTACGAAGCACTTTCCAATAAATATGCTATTTGAATCGATATCGCTGGGTCACCTTTACAACCAGATAAGAAAGGCTTCTAAGAGAGAAAATTCAGATATGATAAAATATAGTTCACTTTATTCATCGATTACATTACATCATAATCCGAGCAAATGAATAATACTGGCACTTTAAATATAGTGATCAAACAAATAAAGGTCGTCGTTCTATACATTATCCTCCATAAGACGTCTAAATTAATTACATGAATCGTCCTACACAAAAAACAAGTAGCATTTTTTTCAAACAATGAATATTACTCTGAAATACCAACTTAACCAAAAGTTAGTTTGTAAAGAAGAATATGGAAAGAAATTCTCATTTGCTTACATACATATTCAATTAAACAGTTCGCTTGGTCCTCCTGGTCTAAAAGATTTTTAAATCATAAGCTGGGTTAAATCAAAGGATTAATAAAAAATAAGGTGATAATGAACACCTTTTTAGTTAAGGGTCAACCATATCAGAGGTGATGACGTTAGATTAAGTTAGTTATTTATTATAAATGAATTACCCCCATATTTTCCTTTTTTTCGTTGAATCTTTCGTGGATGGTACGATCCCCAAAAAGTTTAAAACGATAGTGAAGCAACTGTCTATTTCTCATTGGTTATCTGGTTCATTGATGATAGTTTATTACAAGATTATGCATAGATCTAATCACATGTTTTTGTTATTACTTGGAAACAACTAAAATATTTGATGGAGTTGTCATAAAAATCTGAGTTCTAATTAATCAAGAAACATGAAATTTATATGTTTTTGGTATTATGGAATTAGATAAAATTCCTCATCTCTTACAATCATCAGATATACACCTTGATGTTACAAGACTTTTACGAATAATTAAAGCACATATCTTTCATATAAGATCTAAAACTTCCAAGTCTGTTAACATGTACTATGTGCTTATGCCAGTGAGTCACATTTGTAAAATCCATTCAAATCATGATGTAACATAAAGTTCATCTAACATAATCGGTGACTAAACTCTTTACTCTCTGCGAGATAGACTCAGTATATGTTGGTTTCTTAACAAACTTTTGACACATCCGTATGAAAGCCAGCCACTGTACAACCATACTTTAGATGATCTGTGGAAATTTACTGAGTATGATGATAGTTTTCACAACTGAGTGATGTAATACATTTAGGTTAACAATGGTAGGTATTAATCAGTTTATTTAGTTCCTGTGAATCTTTTATCTCTATTTCTATAACAACACTATACAAATTCGATTTTTAGAAAGGTTACTATCGCATTGCAATTATTTATGATATCGGAATGTCATACGTTTAACTTAAAATTAGCTTCTTATCATGACAGTGAATGAAAGAAGTAAGATCTATAATCAATGTTACTGAGAAAAAGTACGTAATAAAAAAAATACAACAAAATCTTTTACTTCATATTGAAATTATGGAAAGAATAGATTTAAAGAAAATATGTCATTTGCACGCTGTTGTCTAAGTGTTAATCAAAATAAGCTTCGAAATGTTATTCTGAAAATTAAACTAGAGTATCATAAATATTTTCTTAGGCTCAGTTAATCTGAACAAACACTAATAGCACAATTTATTATCAACTGTCAGAAGGAGATGAGTTGTCAATAAAAAATGATTGCAACGTTAATTAGTTTGTAAATGATATGTGAAAAAAAAGTATTTATCCAAAAGAATAGGATCTGAAAATGATAAAGTTTAAGTGAATACTTTTAGTGTTGTTTTCTTCTCTAAATTAGATGGCTTAATTTTAAAGCTTTCATTATGATATCTTGACAATATAATTAATGCCTACTTTATGTAGACATCTAAATGAAATAAATTGTAATAACATTCATGAAGGTGATCAAAGATTTAAAATCAAGTCACCTAACCTAGTAACAAAAGAAAGAAGAATTAAACTAAATAAATAGGTTCAATTAATCATCATCTAAACATCAAAATTTTTAAAGAGATTAAAATTTACATACTAAAGAAACAACAAAAGGAACTGATTAGATAAACAATAAAGTTTAAATAAGTAAACAATCAAACAAATGTAAAAGTAAATTAAATTTTAAGGATTTAAAAAAATTTCAATGGTTAAGATCATGAGTCAATTGAAGCTAGACCACCATGAAAAACCTGAAAGCACTGGATGGCCGTTTCGTCCTATTGTGGGACTCCTCAACAGTGCTCATCCATCCATCCTGGGTTCGAATCTTGCAAAGGGAGAGGTCGTGGACGTGTATTGCTGAGGAGTACCACAATAGGACGAAACGGCTGTCCAGTGCTTCCAGGTTTCCCATAGTGGTCTAGCTTCAATTGATTCATGATCTCAACCATTGATATTTTAAGAAAACAGAAAAAAGATGAAATAAAATGACACACTTGTTTTCATTGTTTCCTTATCAATCGTTTAAATATTTTAATAAAAAAGGTACCAATGAATTGAATATGTTCAATAAATTTAGAACGAATAGATTGAATACAAATAAATAAACTAAGTGTACGACTAACAAAAAATATTGTACGTACTAATTCAGTTGAACTTTGAATTATTTCTGCTAATTTAGTATAACCATAATTTTTAAAATCATAAAATGAAACCATATCAAGTATATTAGCTATTGTTGATTCAGCAGACCAAATAATTACAAGTAATGTTAAAATATCTTGTAAATTATTTAAATTAAAACCATTAAAATTTTTATTTGAACGTTTCCTACGAATATAATGAATTATCATTAATATATAACATGTTGTTACAACAATAGCTGGTAATATTAATAATAAAGCCAAACATAAATAACCAAAAACTAATAGTTGTTGTTGATGAAATTCATCAATAGGACTTTTTCCAACAGCCACACATTCTCCATCTGAATCCATTTGTACCATAGCTGTAAATCTTAAATTGATTGCTGTAATATATATCATTGCGAAACAGTAGGATGTAAAGATAGTTCGTGGATAATCGAATATGCTTTTATTTGGATAAAATAATCGGAAACATCGTTCTACCAACATTGACATAGCATTAAACTTACAGAACATGATGAATAGATTGTATATAAATGTGCTACTCCACATATGACAAAATATCAAATTAAACCACATTTGATCTGTTTTAACAATTGGACAAAATATATACAATACACTAGCAACTGAAGCAAACCATTCACATGTCATTTGTAACATAATCATTATGCTGAGAAATTGTGTTCCCAGGTTAATATCAAATATATACAATAATAAGATTGGATTGAGGCATATACTGATAAATGAAAAGCTGAATGAAGTTATATCAATTTTGTCAGCAACCGAATTTCCATGACGCAAGATATTAATTATTCCCTGTTGTGCAGCACACATAATATTATTTGTCCGAATAAAGCAGAACTGAAAATATATATCTATAGGTATTTCGTTCTCATCTCTTCTAATTATGTAAATAATTAATTTAGACAGATGTTAACGTCCATACTAATTGCTAATGTTACAAAGAATATTCTCCAAATTTCCATTGATAATTTCATGAAATAAAATAAATATTTTCATGGAAAACTATTCACTTATCTTGATTTTTAATAGGATTAGTAAATACACATTTGATTGGTTATATTCGTAGATTTCTTGGGAGATACTACATTTTTATGGTTTCCAATTGGTTGAAGTGTATATTATTAAATTACTAGTTATCGTATGTTGGTAGCAGTTTATTTAGTCAACTCCTACCCTAATGCAGCAAGATTTTGCTCTTTCAATTTAAAATACTACTTTACAGAACCAGAACTTGGTTGATTATTTACCCAAGTTAAAATCTATACTGATAGACTTTTTTCCTGTTTGAGGAATGGATATTGAGGTTATTTACTGAAAAACTTCTAATATTAATAGTGTTTAGTGATAACAGTGTGTGAAATGACATTATGTCTTAATAACGAAACCGTAGTTTTCCAAAAATGATTTACAGATTTTATCTTCATGTCACCGTATTTCCTATGAGAAGGTATCGCACAAACTACACACACTTGTAGGGAACTCTGAATAATATATGAAAGCTTTGTTTCTGTCAAAATATAATTCTGCTAGATTACAAATTTGTAAGCCTAATGCTAACTAATTCCACCTTAATATCACTGAAACATTCAAGGATAGTTAAATCTGAATAGTTTTTGATCGAAAAACTAAATTGATTAGAATTGAGGGGATCAATAAATAAATATACGGTACACCATCGGGAAGGTACAAGTATTAATAAATAGCTGTCTTCGCAAAATACTCAACATCCATTGGCCGGATACCATCAGCAACAGCCTTTTGTGGGAGAGAAAAAACCAGCTTCCAGCTGAAAAGGAAATTAGGAAAAGACGATGGAAATAGATAGGACATAAATGACGCAAATCATCAAACTGCATCACGAGGCAAGCCCTAACTTGGAATCCAGAAGTGAAGCGAAAAAGAGGAAGGCCAAAGAACACATTGCGTCGGAAAATAAAAGCAGACATGAAAAAGATGAATAACAACTGGAAGGAGCTAGAAAGGATTGTCCAGGACAGGGTTGGATGGAGAGTGCTGGTGAGCGGCCTATGCTTCTTCACGAGGAGTAACAGGCGTAAGTAATTTTTGTAACATTTCTATATCACAGCAGATTTTCTGCTAAGAACTAACTTCTCTATCCTGATAAATTTTTATTTTTCAGAAATGTACAGCGTTTTAAAGACACTTTGTATAAATATAAAAAGACAGATACAGAATATAATTACCGTAAAAATGTATTTATATATCATTCTGATATGACGGGAAGTCAAAATTCCATTGATTTACTCATTATGGGTTTTGTTCAACTTTACTTCCGTTTTGATTCAGTGTGATGATTATTCAGTGTAGTACTCGGTTTTGTTTTCCCTTATGATATTTTATTCTGTATAATATACGATATTCTTGTATTTAGTGGATATGAACCATATGATTTGTCATAACTAATTTTCATATATATGGTTTCATCCCAACTATTAATCAAAGTGTGTTTACAATCAATATAAATGAATGTATTTTCTGCTAGGGTCGTCGTCGTGTTTTGGGGTGAATAAATCTTCACTTATACCAGTCTTTGTGTTCTTACTTTCGCGTCGTGGGAATTACAGAAGTCCCTCGTTTCTAGCATAAGTGATAAGCGTTTCCGACACAACAATCAGCGACGACCAGATATAACAAGTAGTATTCAATCGACAAGATATATCATATTCATATGAATATTCATAAGATCACAGTTTAGAACAATTTCATCATCCTTTTTGCGTATTCTCATCATTCCAAATTAATTAGAATAAGTTTCTTGTTTACTCGAAATGTATTTTGTCCTATCAAACTTTTATACGTAGAAATTCAGAGTAAAAGTATCAATCCTTCACCAAATATAACATCAAATAAACTGTCCAAATAAATCATTGTAGGTATTTTTGAATTTATTTTTAAGTGTTTTATTATATTGTAAATTTAAGTTGAAAATATTCTAGTGAAAAATGGATAAAATATGAATGTTTACTAAATTTTTCAGCAACTTCAGTATGTAACCTCTGGAGTTCAATGTCATTACTTAATGCAAATGAATTACATGACACTGGTAATTACCTTTCAAGGTAATATCAACTCGAAGCATATACACATTAAACAGATAATTTGATGATTTTTCTGTCAACTTTTGAGCAGATTATTTCATATACAAAATTATTACATAATATTACTTTTATCATATAACTGAACACGGGATTTCACAAATTGACGTTTATTTACTTGTTTAATATCTTAACGATACTAAAGTAGCAAGTTGTTATTAGTACCATGATGAACTTACCCTTGAAGATTAATAAATTTTAAACTACTAAACCTTAACATTCAAATGTCTATATAAGTATTGATAAATGGTAAATCTTAATTAATATCTTTTCATTGACTGTCACCAAATATTTTGCAGTCTGATAGGGGTTTTGTGGAGACTGTAGTAATTTACAAGTTGAATTCATGAGTCAATTGAAGCTAGACCACCATGAAAAACCTGGAATCATTGGACGGCCGCATCTACGATGCCGCGCCGCGAGTTTCGAACCCAGGACCTATCGAACATTAAAACCGTTGGATGTCAACTCAGTTGTCTAGAAGTTAAGCGTTCGGGCGCGTGACCGATAGGTCCTGGGCTCTAATATCTCTGAGCAGGATCGTGGATGCACACTACTGAGGAGTCCCGTACTATGATGAAACAGCCATCTAGTGGCTCATGAATTCAACTATTATATTTTACAGTCTATTAATCTTTTAATGAAATCATATTACTTTTTTTCAAGTATTAAATATACGTTTATTTTTAAGGAAAATAGAAGACAACAGAAAATGAAGCACCAATCTGGCAACGAAATTATTTACTGCCTACTCATCCATTAAATCATTCAATCTAAACACGTTAATATAAAATTGATTGCTCTCCTAATAATTTGAAAATATCCACGTGACCTAGAATGTGTACACAAGTGCATGGTGACCTTGAAATTTATAATATTAAAGAAAAAAATTGCTATGCATTTTATATATTCATTTTATTTTCAAAGTATAATCTGAATCATACGTGTGTGCACGCATGCACTTTCTTGAATATATATATATATATATATATATATATATATATATATATATATATATATATATATATATATATATATATATATATATAATGTATGTATGTATGTGTGTACGATGAAAGCACTTATAAAGACGTTATCATTGATTTTTACAATAACTTTTCTTTGTTTTAATTTTAAAATAGAAAGAAAAGAGAGAGTATTCACTAATGATTTATATTGAAAAATTTCAGGTAAATATTGGTGTATTTGAAATCTTTTGTTTTAATCAATTTAGTTAAACAATTTAAAGGTTTAATGAAAAAAACTAGATGAACATTTAATCATAACTTGATATCATTCATGAACATGGTTTATTTCAAGATTGAATAGGATATTGAATAGTGTCAATTTCTTGAAGAATATAATTCTTGATCATTTAGACATTGATAAATTATAAAATGGTTGAAATCATGGGTCAATTGAAGCTTAGACTACCATGGAAAACCTGGACGACTGTTTCATCCTAGTATGGGACTCCTCAGTAATGAGCATCCACGATTGATTCATGATTTCAATTAATGAATTTTCTAAAATCTCCACAAAAACCATTCTAAGTACAATTTTAAGTTGACTAAATAGCGAAAAAAATAAAATTTAGCATATTTCAAACCGAATGGATTAAAGCTATTCTATTCATCTTAAGATATAATGATGATTACGTTGTACTATAGAGATAATATACATATATAGTTAACAATTTCAAACTACAACAAAATAATTGTTCATTGTTTATCAGTTTATTAGTATTTTTTACTAAATGTAAATATCTACAATAAACTAACTTTTTTATTTGACTCATTCGTTGAAATATATAATTTTGAACATGATGTTATTTCTAAACAATTATCTCTAATTGAATTCAATATTTACCTTTTTCAGTAAATACAATAAAAGATTTTATAAAAAAACAAACTAACAATAAATGGAGCAATTAATCGAATTATTTTTTGAATTGGATAAAGATAACAATGAAATTGTTGATAAACAAGAACTTATCAATTATTGTCAAGAGAATAAATTGGATATGGAAATGGTTAATGTGAGTTATTGATTTAAATTGTTTTGTCTTGTGAATAACGATACTTATATGTGTGTAATTTTTTCTGGTTCTTCAGTACTAAACAATGTAATTGGAGTAAATGAAGAGATATAGAGCGGTAGCGAATTTAAGCGCATAGTCTTAATTTAAAATAGATCAGTTGTGGAGTCGATAGATTATTTATTACACCAGTTATTCAATTATTATTATTATTATTAGCTTTATTTAATATTATATTTTTGGTGCAGTTTAGAATCTTCAGCACAAAGTATTTCAACAAGTTTCTGTTTCTTTATTCTTGATCGATACAGGCGATAAATATTGAGTGATCGCCATTTAGATGTTAACAGTTCAGTCAATTGACATCTGAACAATATTGATTCTTTTCTCTCTATATTGCCAGCAACCACGATATCTCTGATTGGGCCTTTTGTAACTTGTACAACGAAAGGTTATACAATTTTCATAAACTCACCTGAATAGATTATACCATTAATAAACATAATGATGTATTAAAACAAACATAAATAGATACCTTGTAGAAATATCTAGATGGCAAGAACAGGTAGCTCAGATGTCCAAACAGGCCGACACCTTTACAACTCGTAGATGAATTGTCTGAAGTCTGAACATCCATTTTATTTTATTTCAAGGTCATTTTGTAGATTATCTCGTTCTACACTTATGTTTGATTACAGTTTCACTGAAAAATAATAAGACTGAGGCTATGTATTCTTCTCACGAATAATTTAACATACATTCTTGGTTGTGAAGACAAGTTGAAGTTAGTTTAGTAGAATATCTTATTATAAAACTAGTAACTGTAAATCAGCTATGATCTTTAATATCATGCGAAATTCATTCTGAATTTAAATCTACTTCTCATGAAAAGTAACTCTTACCTACAGTAGTCGATGAAATCATTAGATCAGTTGAACCGTTGACAGTATTGTACGAAATATGTTGATAAAATTTTACGGTGATTTGAAATTATGTTATAACATGTTGAAATCGGATCACAACATTCTGTATCTTTAACCTTCAAATAATTATGCCTTTTATAGAAACTGAAATTCCTTGTTTTAACATTGTCTTCAACAAAAGTATATAAGCTGATTGACGGAACTTCTAAAAATTCGATTTCTTTTATAACTCGGTGATTAGATGATAGTTAATATCATAATATCTCACTGATCAGCAGCTATGATAACTCAGTAAAGAGAAACTGTATTTACTGAGTTTTTCATCTTTGAAGGAGCTTTACAAATCAATTAAAAAGAAGTACATTATATAACAGTTGACTATATTCAGAATGTCTGCCATTTGTTATGTCCTTAACTGTACTGAAAGTATCACATATTTGTTATTCTTCAGAGAACATAAATGGACAGATCTAAAATATAATAATAGTTGAATGTTATTGTCAATAGTCTGTCTAGTTCACAAGGTTTATCTTCTTTGAATTATTATACAAACAGTTTTCGCTTAAAATACTTCGTATTTTTAAATTTCATAATGAATTCTAATGGAATACAAACTTGTTATATTTATTCATCACTTACAAAACTAGAAAGATTATAAATTAACAAAACTATGGTGTAACTTAAACTAGAGGTTACTGAAAAGTTAATTTTTTCTTGAAATTGTCCCAACTTTTAACAGAAATATTACCAAAATTGACTGCATTATATCATGACTTATTATTCTTTATGCTGTGTTGTCTTTTTTTTATGACACATCTATCAGCTAATTGTAAACAATGTAGGATCTTTTTCAAATATTATCAGATCAAATTCATACACCATATCAATAAAGAATGATGGAATTAACAAATAATAAACCAAGAAATATTTGAACCAATAATTGTTTTTGATAGTTTAATCATTGGATTCTACAAGTGTAATTTAATAATTACTATATTGTAATGGACAATACAATTCATCCATAAATAAGTGAATTAGACAACATGAAATAGGAGTATGGGTTATTATTATTTTAAATTAATTTTGATTTAACATCTCACAGCGACTCTTCCTACTCCTCTCTTAAACGACCTTTGGGATCTACACATGATAGTAGTAACCGATACAAAACTTCATTATTTTAACATATAACAATATCCAATTCACTTACAGTCTATTTATGTATGTCTTACTTCAGAAGATGAAATACAATAATTATTCATTTATAAGTGTAGAGTTGAAGGATAAAGTTATTGAAAATAAAGTTTTTCTAACTTTTCCTTATTTCTGAATAGTGTATGGGACTTTTTTGGACAGTTGACAAAAAATTAAAGTGATCGTAATGTCTATGACAGTTGGAAATACTAAACAACGATAATTATTCGAAGAGAAAGTATTATACCATGAGATAAAAAATCGAAAAAATCATACGTAAACTTAAAGTCTATGAAAAGATAAAGACTGAACAGACCTTTGCCACTATGATAGACTTAAAGCTATATCACATTAATCCTCCGATTATCTGAGAAAATTAAATGTAGCAGTTTATGAATAGCAGTGAGACGTTTCCTATGGAAAATTAATTTGTGAAAAAAATATTTTAATTTAACAAGTTGAAACTCTATTCTTGTCTGCAGAAAGAATATCTAGACAGTTAGTTATTTACGACTTTAATTTGAACGAAATAATCCTTATTTGCTATTATGATTATTTTAATGAAACAAAATGGTTTTAAGTAAAGATGGATAGTGGCTAGCAGTGGAATCCCGGACGCGCGTTTCGTCCTATTTGGGACCCATCAGCTGGATGTACCTGCATCCCAGAGTTGATGTCCACTCTGGGACTGAAACCCAGTATCGTTCGCCCCAAACGCCATCGCGTTATCCACTTAGCTATTGAGTCCTGATAGTCACCTGCTTGTGCAATGGGGTGAAGTTTAAATTCACTTGGTGTTATTTTACTTGTATCTTCCCATTGTTATTCAGGATTGCAATCGATTAGTCTCATGTTGGCATATGTGCTTTTGTTTTATAATTACTTTATAAAGAAGCTATAGAATCATTTACAAACTACATAAGACTGAACTCATATATATTTATGTATTCACGAATACACAAAAGTAAACACCCTAGTAGAAGCCACTAACATACGAGTCAGTTACATGATGGTGAGGATTCTAATGTAATAAATCCCAATAAAAAATCGATAACTCAAAGAGATCAGTAGTTTTATTGATTCGTTCTCGCGTCGAAACATGTGGTCAATACAATACAATCAGCATAAAGGTCTGGACAATGTGACATTAGTTTATACTCTTTGACTGTTTAGTATTAACATGTAAGTTCTACGTGATGTACATTAAGGCCCATACAGCACAGTCTCTGACTCCAACACCTGGATACTCAAGTTCAGGTCTCACAAGAAACACTTTACCTTAAGATTACAGGTACTGTCTACTAATACACCCCATTCAACAAGAAACGTAAGTCCTGGATTTAATATCGACTAATTCCAGTTATTTAATGTCAAACGATGTTTATGTCTGGTCACTTAATCCAGTTTATGCATTGCAACTTGGTTGGTAGAAGTTGATCAGAATTTGAGAATAAGCAACATGACATTACTTAATGTCTACTTACAACTAATTGTGATATATGTGGGTAAATGACGAAGAACAATGAATTTTAGTTTATCGCTTGATGACATATTCCAACTTTAAAACCTTAATTTTAACTACAAACATCAAATCAAGTCATAACACAGCCTACAATGAAAAAATTTACGTACATAACTGATCAATCCATAAGCAATAATCTAAGAGTTTAACCATTTCAGTTATAAACTATCCTGGTGATAAAATCTGAATATGTATCTAATTTTCAATATTGATTATTCTAAACTAAACAAATTCAAATCTATAAATGTAATTTATTTCTGCTCTATCCAACCATTTTATAACTTATCTATAAGACATATTAAAAAAAAAACGCCAATAGTTATTCATAACGGTCAACTTTGGAAACATTTCTTTTTTTGTTACATACATTCCATTATAAACATTGAAGAAAAAGTTAAAAAAAGAAAGATTTATTTATACATTTACTCATATCTATTATGATAAAACACAGCATGGTATCAAACTCATTTGAATCATTTGGAATGAACGATTCTATGTTGTTGTTGTTTTTTTTCACCATTAACTCATGACTAAGATATGTGAATTTATTGAACACATTTTATTACTTCATTTATTTTAAATTATGAAGTACTAATTTTGTCCTTGAAAAATAAAATGATGTTTTACTTTGTTAAAATTAAACCATCTTGTTTAATTTTATTTTAAATGAATGATATATTTTTTGTGTTAACATATTTGATTATTCAAAAATGAAGAATATTTGAGCGAACAATTGTAATCAATAACTTCATCATCAGGCTCTACAGTTATAATTTCAATAGTTGAGATCATGAGTCAATTGAAGCTAGACCACCATGGAAAACCTGAAATCACTGGATAGCTGTTTCGTCCTATTGTGAGCCTCCTCAACAGTATGCATCCACGACCCTGCCTTACGGGGTTCGAACCCAGGACCTATCAGTCTCGTGAGGTAGTAGTTCATTGATGACAGTGGTGGGTGTGTCGCTCAGTTTCGTGGATTGGTTGAAGTTAGACATTAACACCGTTGGATTCCGGCCAGCGCCTGGCGCGAAACTGATAAGTCATTGGTTCGAAGCCCGCGAGGCGGGATTGTGGATGCGCACTGCTGAGGAGTCCTACAATAGGACGAAACGACTGTCCAGTGCTTCCAGGTTTTCCATGGTGGTCTAGCTTTAGTTGACTGATGATTTCAACAAGTGAAGTTTCTAAAAATGAAAATGCCAAAAAATTGTGTGAATAAAATGCATAGTAGGAGAATTTCATCTTGTCAGTTGAGATAATAATAATAATAAGATTGTTGTGTGAATATTATATGTAATAAGAGGGGTGTTATCAAGGTAATTACGATAAACGAATAAGGAATGATGTATGTAAAGATTAAGATAGACATAATCAAAAATAGTGATAGTAAAGAAAAAAATCAAAGAAATAAAAATAAAGGAAGTGGGTAAGTGGTTTATAATATTCACTCTACGTATTCGGTGATCCAGTAGTAGGCCAAGGTAAACAAAGAGACTGGATATACTTTTTCTGGATACATAAGTTTGGTTTTCTGGAGTTGATCCGGATGGCTTCGGATATGTAAAGGAGTCGTAATCTAGCTACTTGAGGTAGATATTTTGGAACCTGATATAAAACAGAGAAAGGTTCCTCTGTTTTGATATGATGTTCACTATCTACCAAGTGAGAAAAAACAGTGCTGGTACATGTTCACGAACATGCAAATAATATAAATAATACAATTTAGAAGTACATAGATATCGTAACAGATGTAAACGTGCACCATTTTTAACACATAACATTGTCAAATTCGTCAATACATGCCTTATTTTTGGCCTTTGTAAAATATCATTATTATGGACTTATAATTGTAAAGCCTGATGATGAAGTTATCGAATACAATTGTTCGCTCAAATATTCTTCATTTTGAATATCTGATTATCACAAACTGAACTATATCAAGGAGATGAAATATTATAATAACCAACTAACTATTGTTTTGGTCATTTTTATATTGTTCCTGTAGAAATTTTAGAAAATATTGTTAACCAATGGTGTGTTTTAGGGCTTAGGAACAACTTGAAGTAGGATATAAAAATCGATGATTAAAGACAATTTTCCTGACAACAAATTTATGTTATTATGAAACTACTGTGTTAACAGGCCTTAGTCATACACAAAACAACTATACGAGGGTCAAAATAACGTGGCTGTTAACTGAAATTCAGAAGAAAATACATTGAAATCAACTAAATTTAACCTCTATAGTCACAAAATACTGTTACTTGAAAGAACAATTAGAAGTATTCTAAGTTCACTACACCAATTCTTCATGAAAATAGGATTTATTATTTTGATATCATATGTTAAACTTCTCACATATAAGCCCCCAAGTAAAAAATTACTCGACTGAATCAGTTTAGATGATAAGCAGTATGATTATATCACAACGAAGGGGTTTTGCAATAGGATATATGCTTTTAGTGTTTTATTAAACAACCATTGAAAGATTATTTTCTACCTAACTGCATAGAATTGATTCCATTAAAGTGAATGATGAAAACACTTTGGCAATAATCAAACGCGAGTTTATGATTAGCCAGTCATTTATATTCAATAAAAGTCATGTGTCAAAAAAACTGTTCAAAATTTATTACCATAGAGCTCTTAGTGATAAACTACTGGAATGTCACCTAATCTTTATCACTAATCACTCGATAAATGTAAATAAATATAATCTTTCGTCAATAGTAATAGGTGGTTTATGAACCATTATTATATTTTCACTGGAGGGTTTTGTGTAGGTTATATAATCTTTGCAGATTTTGAATTACAAATTAATCTTATTTAGACCACCATAAAAAACCTGGGACAGTTATTCACCCTAGGCAATGGAAAATGATTGCGCAGTGTCGTGAATTGGTTGAAGTTAGAAATTACCAGCGTTTGATTCCGGCCAAGTGGTTTGGAAGTTAGATGTTCGCACCTGTGACCTATGACTTCGGGTTTGATTCTCATCTACGTTGTGGTTGACGGATACCGATGAGGAATCTCTGAAAACTGTCAGATGTTATTATTCAATCAGTACTTTTCATCTTCACCCCTCTACTGTTTTCCGACATTTAAAAAATATTTGTAGCTGTTATCAGATATCAGAATACCATTTCCAAACCATTTTATCTGAGGAGGTACATCGTATTGCTCTTCACTTCTATTAAGTATGTTTATGAAGAAATGTACTTTATGGATAGATTCTTAATCATAGTTAGTTATTTAAACCGGGAAAAGTGTCATTTTGATATGCACCTAGTAGTCTAAAGGTAATGCACTCGTCACAAGGTTCGAAAATCTTGAATTTGAACGCTAGCAGGCTTGTAGTCGTAAGCTGCTTTACTTGAACAAAACATACGTTCGGTTTTTTCTGATTGATAGTGATTATTTGGCTAAAACAGTTGTTGCTAACTACAAGATAAACAATTTTCACAAAGTAGGTATCATTATCAAGGTTTGATTTGATAATTTGGAATAAATCGAGCATTGGGTAGATTGTTATAAATGAATACTATATTTGTAATATCCAAATGAGTAGAAAAATTAGATTTATTCTCTGAAGAAGTGACCTACACTAAGTCACAAAACGTCAGAAAATCTAATTTTTCTACTCATTGGGATATTACAAACATCTTATTTATCTATAATTTTCAGAAAGTTTTCACACAAACAGCTACTCAACTTTGTAAGATATGACTATATTGATCTTTTATTAGTTATAGGAACAAAACGGGTTTTTAACGGAGTGTTATTGACACAGTGAATCTCTGCTTTTAAATAAAATGTTTCTATCTATAATAGACCAACGAAAGACACCATAAATCACGAGCATATTCCCATTGTCTTTTTTCCATTGAATGTATAGTATTATTTTAAAAATGTAATATGATAGTCTAATGACTTGAACACCCGCATAAAATGAAAATAATCTCTGAAATATGAAAAGTCATCAATTGTGATCTGTAATCTTTTTTACTTGAAGGTTGCATATTGGTATATGTACTTGAGGACATTAGTCGTAGTTTTACAGTGTAGACAACCGATTCTTTGGTACATTGAAAGAAATAACGTTGGTTTAAAACAACTATTCAATCGATTTCGCATAGAATAACACATACTTGACTTGGATTCATTATTCTATTTGTGTGGATTAGTGATACTACTGACCAAATGAAATAAGTTTCAAATATGTGATTAATCAATTGACAGTTAAGTGTTTTAACCATTAATTAGTCAAGTAAACTTGAAGGCTAGTTGAAATTGAAAAAGAAATTTCATACCTTAAATAAAATGTAGATATTTTACTTCACAGTCTAAGACAGTTTTAATTACTTTATCATCTTATGTACAAAATAAAATCTATTGAAAATTTGTTTTTTTATAAAACTTTATCTAGAGATGGTTGTCAAGATGTGATACTGATAAAAATAACAAAATCACATTCGATGAATTTTGTCGAGGATTCGGTATTAAACTAAATGAAATGTAAGTCGTTGTTTGTTTGTTTGATTCATATACTTTAAGTTTATATAAAATGTTTTTCCTCTTTTTTCCTTTTCTTGAACTGATTCATTATTGTTTGTGTCGGTATAATTAATGTTTTTGCTTTATTTATATTCAAAGATAAAATAGTTGGGTAGGCTCAGCAATGTCCATAGAACGTTGTCTTACACTCCTTAACACATTTAAAATAATGAAAGATAAAGTCAGACAGCGAACTATTATAGAAAGATTGAAATCGTGCGTAAACAATCAACATTTACATCACGCTGTTTAAAGAACATAAAACATCACTTTTCTGATTAATCACTGGAAACAACTCTTCAGTGTACGAACTCATATAACACATTTAAATAATGTGAACAATAACAAATTTGTCTTTTAATGTGCGTAAGTTAATCAGCACATTCAATCGCTCCTTTTGTATAAGTTAAAATAAAACCTAAATGTACGTCAGTTTTAAAAAGTCATCTCATACGTTCATAGAGATAAATATGTCATGATAAGGAATACATCGCAAGTCAACTAACTGGTTATTTAATTTAAAATTCATTGTATGAATCACTTAATACAAACGCTTAATTTTTATTCACTTGCAAACAGTACCAATTAAGCGAGTGTGGACATATATACACCATTCATGTTATAATCAAAACATCCTGGTTAAATCTTTGTAAAACCGTGCAACATTACGAAATGGTCAAGATATAAATCTACCTCAAAGTGATCGAAAATCCTGCATTTTATCCTAAGTGGGATCGTGGATACTCACTTCTAAAGAGCCCCATACTATGGCGAATCAGCTTTCCAGTGTATTATTTTGATGGGGATTTTCAATGGATATTTAGCCAAGAGCGGCCAATGATACAAACTAAGAAAAAGATTTAAAACTTAGTTATACATTTGATTTATGAATGTATGACTTATGTTCATAATCATACTATTAAATTAGCAATAATCAAACCCCAAAGGAACTCTATTTTCATCTAATCCATCAATAAAATAGCAGAAAAATAAAAGCTCAACGTATTCCGTCTAAATGCATAAGCAGAACATATTTCAATATAAGTAAAATGTTAGAATAATCACTTTGTACAGCTTCATTAATTTAGATTATAAATAATTTTAATCTAAATTAATCATACAAATCTCTGTATCCACTTAACTATTCATAATTTCAAATTATCGATATTTACAATTAGCACTTTTTTTTCGTCAACTGATTACAAGATTATTTGCATTACTCGTTATAAGATATGTAACCTTACTGTATAACAATTTAATAGTTTACTTAAAAAATATGTAGTTCATTCGTAAATTATATATAATTGTAAATATTTCTTTAATTCATTATGAAATCAATAAAAAGAATCACATTAATGTTGTAAACAATCATTATTTCAAAAGGATTTCAGTCAAATGATCTTTCTTTAATATTTCTCTGAGTAATGAAATATGGTTAGACTAATTTACTTTACATTGTAACTGATAGATTAATCACAGTAACACAGATTCCTCATTGACTGATATTAAAATATTTTTTTAGATTTTAAAATTGGATCTTGTTGGTAGTCGTGCGATAGTCGGTATTATTAACTTGGACCCTATCACAACTCTTAGTTCAGTATATATATAAACAAAGGACAGATCAATCTATTCTGAGGCACTAAAAGAAACGTTTTATCTTATTCAACAAGGCATAACTAATACAGAAGTAGATTTTGTTCACGAACACTGAGTTCATAGAGGATATAGCTGCAAAGGCAATATGAAACGAAATATTGGAATTCTTGAAGGTGAACATTATTCGACTGAACTAAGCATATTTTTAAAACAGACACTTAATCCAAGGACGCATCCAAAATAGACCGAATCTTTGGGCCACCTCCTCGGTTTTATTACCTCATTTCGACATATAACTACTTTTTCTTTACATAATAATCAAATAATTTCTGATTTAAATTCTTCAGTCTGTATTTATTTACTGTTTTCATTATGAACCAATCTTGTTATAACAACTACTTGATTTGTTAGTCTCGTTTATTGGTGATTTTATTTTGTCAGAAGGGGTTTTGTGGAGATTTTAGAAATTTCACAGATTGAAATCATGAGTCAATTGAAGCTAGACCACCATGAAAAACCTAGAAGCACTGGACGGCCTTTTCGTCCTAGTATGATAGGTCCTGGGTTCGAATCTCACGGGGTGCGAGATCGTGAATGCACACTGCTAAGGAGTCCCATACCAGGACGAAACGGCCGTCCAGTGCTTCCAGGTTTTCCATGACCGTCTAGCCTCAATTGACTTATGATTTTATTTTGAACAATTATGGTTAATTTTTTATTTAGTTTTCATTCAAATTCGTCAACTTGCTGTTTTTAATTATTCTGTTATAAAATAGTAAATTCATTGTTTTACAGTTAGCAATACATTAAAATTATTTATTGGAATACTTTATAGAGACTATAGTATGCTAGAATTTCACATAACTATAGTTGGAAAAGACTTTAGCATAAAATATTTATTATTGAGAATTTTGGATATACGGAAATTATTTAATACGAAGTCTGTTATCACCATGAGATCATTTGAATAAGAATTAAAATTGTAGAATATCAAAAACTGATTAAAGTTAGAAATCTTGACTGTTAGATCTCAATTAGGAAGTTCAAATAAATCTTACCCGTTATGAGACTCAAAGATTCTGGATTCGATATCATATGGAATTAGAAGTTTCATACACCTAAAGAGTCTCAAATTTGAATGAAGTATTTTTTTTCAGTACGCTATGGCTTTTAACAACTGCCCTAATGGTCTCATTCTACATTAGAAACTAACTTTATTAAAATCACATTCATTCACAATACCTATCTTCTTAATACTAACAAGTTAGATAAACAATCTTGATTCTATTTGTTCAAACTTTTAATAATATTCATTTTAGGTTTATACATTCATTGTAATATTTTCTTTTTTGTTATACAAAGGCGTGTAGAAAAAATCGAAAGAGCTTTAACATGGGATAACGTCACACCAGTTAAACCATCCAATATTGATATTATTAAATCAGCAATGTCGGAAACGAAGCAAGCGAAGGTCATTGAAACATTTCAGAAATTGATGCAACAATATGGAGCTGATGAAAAGAATCTAGATAAAGTCTCATCAGAGCTAAAGAAATTTTTAGAAGAAACTTATGGTAATGTATGGCATGTGGTTATAATGAATGGATCGTTCTGGATGAGTTACTCTCATGAACCATTCTGTTCATTACAATTTAAAATGAATAGACATTCATGTAGTGTATGGCGTACACCATCTGGGCAAAGATATAGCTCTTAAATTGACGAAATTATTAACTTTTACTTACAACTACTATTATTACTGTTATCATCCGAACAAACTTTTATACATTACAATCCCTTATGCTACATAATAAGCTTTACTCACTTCTTAAATGTGTATATTTCTTAACATGAACACTGATTGTACTAATATATTCAACATTAAGCTGAGTTTGTTTTTAATGAATCAGTTGTAACTGATTTGAGTTATTATAGAATTTTATCAAAGCCTACACTAAGATTATGTTTCCCAAATCAGTATTTTTGCTAAGAACTATTAGATTTCTGTATTCAACAAAACTGACTGTTCATTATGATAATGATTTTGAGTACACAGAATAGTTATACAATAATGCTTGGATTTTATCATCTAGTATTAAAATGTAATGATTATCATCTTATCATATGTGGTAAGTATTTCATGAATTACCACAAAAGTTTTAAACCCCTTACACAAGGCAAAACAACCACAGATTAAAAGACCCTATAACGGAAGAACAAAAACTTAACATCATCTACAAAATAGAATCCACCAGTTTAAAAAAGTACTGTATCAGAAAAAGTACAAGTTTTATTCATCTACACGTACTACAATATAGAATAGCTATGAAACCATATGACATGTATGTTGGTGTTTCCCATTATCTCTTCTGAAGTTTTTAGGAACGATAAAATAGTGTTGCATAGAATATACTAGGCTACTAGTAGGGTAAGTGATGAGTCTTATGACACTATTTTGAACATGATTGTGGACAAACATTTATGATCATTAAAGTCACAAGTATGTGTTATTCTACCTGTAACACACTCACCTCATTTATATTCTTTCCCCTGTATGTTTTTTGGCTGAACGAGACGCGGGTACGTTAGGCAGTATCCTTGTAAAGGTAAATACAAATTCTCTACAACACCTAATCTTGAACTATGAGAAGAAAGAGCTGTAAGACTCGACCTGACCAGAATCGTTTGCACAATTATAAAACCAAAATTATTATTGTATTACAATAGACAAAATATTAAGTTTGAAGTAATCCATATTAGACTGAAAATAACAAATATAGCAACATTTCAGTCTTTAATACTACAAAATACTGGTAAAACGTAATCGCCTCAATGGTAACGTGAAGTAAAGGTCAAACACAAAGAGTAAAAAAAAGTTGTAATAATAACAATAACAATAATTCTTAATAAACACATCGTGTGAAATGAGAAAGATGAGTGCATAATTAAAGATCAGAAAAAATGTCATTGAAGTAGATGAAAATCGTAAGAGAAAAGGGTGTAATATTTGTGTGTACTGACAAAACTAAAACAAAGAATCCCAACTACTCTGTTCTGGACTAAGGTAAATAAAAGGCTAGAATGTATCTATTTTTTTTTTGTTTGAAGTTGATGCCAGTCTTTTTGACCATATTGAATGAATATTATTTTACGTTAGTTAAAATGCTTAATCTAGAGAATTTTATACTGTATCAAATATATATTACTATTGAGAGATCATATTTTCCATTCTTATATTCTTATATAACAGTTAATATGTACTTCAATTGATTGTATCAAAATCTTTGACAAAATTTAGTTTTCCAAATTAATATTATGATTAAACAATTTTTTTCAGAAGACCAGTGACCTCGTTTACGTATTAAAAAAATTCTTTCTTTCTTTATTCTTTCTGAATTACCAAATATTAAATCGTTGTGGTTTTAAAAAAGAAAAAAATCAAGAGAAGAAGTCCACTACTTTCCTTTTGTTTAATTGTCAGTTTATTTAAAAAGAAACAGTTTCTATAAAGAAAGTTTATTATTGTGAACATAGTAACAATGGTAGTAATGCTAATAATAAATCAATAATAATTATGAATAATAGTACTATAATGCACTTAATTATGATTAATAATATATAATTACATCTTTTATTTTAATTGTATCATGCTGTTTAGATACAAACATTTTATGGAAAATAGCTAGAAAATTGTCATTCATTCTCATGTATACAATATGATGAATGAGTATTCAATATATTTTAACATCTTTAACAGATTATATACACATACATATATGTAAGTTTCATCACTTGTTAACTGATAGAATTTTGAAATTTAATATGATCAAATAAATAGTAGACTTATAATAGTTCTTTAATAGTTGAATTCATGAGTCAATTAAAGCTAGACGACTATGGACAACCTGGAAGCACTGAACGGCTGTTTCATCCCAGTATGGGACTCCTCATCAGTGCATATACACGATCCTGGTCGCGGGAGTCAAACACAGGGCTTTCAGTCGCGCGCACGAACGCTTAACCTCTAGACCACTGAGCCGGAATCCGAAAGTGTTAGTGTCTAAATTCAACCAATCCACAAAGTCTAGTTCTTCTAGGTTTTCCATGGTGGTCTAGCTTCAATTAACTCATGAATTCAACGATTAAAGAACTATAATATCCACAAAACCCTTCTCTGATTATAAGAGTTCCTCTGTGAAACGTCAGAAATTCAATTTTCTACTTACTGAAATATCACAAACGTATACTATTATTCTTTTAATAATGATAGTTTATTTGTTCTTATTATGTTGAAAACGTGATCATTTCATGCATTCATATTAACTACTATCAAATCAACATTTAGCCTCATACAAATTATGTTTATGTAACTAGTAAGTACTCGAACCAGTTGTAATACTTTTGCGGAGAAACATCTTACGATATGATGAACGGCTTAAAATCCTATACAAAATATACCGGAAAAATAAGCACAATTTGTTGTCATTAGCAATTGAAGAAACTAGATTTATAGATCACTCACTGTCCAGTAAGTTCGGACGTGACTGTAGGGCCTAATTCCTGCTTATTGTATTAGGCATTCTCTTCCTATTTAAGTGACTTGCAAAACTAGTTTTGTACTACACCTACATAATTTAAAAGTCTTGTAATCGTCAGTTCAATCGGCAGTCTGTGGTTAGTTTTGAAATGCTTCCAACTAATTAAGTGTAGATCACCAGATAATAAAACAACTTTTAAGATAAGTAGTGTGTACCATAGTAAGACTTGTTTATTTTTATTCTCAAAAATCATCTTCATATTCATGTCCTAGCTAGTGACCTATGTTTACTAACACAATGATTCAAGTAGAGGTCTCTAATTCTGTACAAATTAGTTCATATGCTCTGTGTATCACTGCGATTTCAGTCTCTTTTAAGTAAAATGTCCAGTTGCATGGCTCCTATATATATGCTAAAGGTGTTGCTTCTATAAATTATCGGTGACAACCTGATCCCACTGATTTAATACCTGGGATGAACGAAAAATGACTGGCGTATCAAACGATTTAGTAGTATTTTAATCGAATAAATAAGGTTTATCCTAGTCATTTGTCTTTCTGTAAGGTATTTAACATGTTTTGCAAGAATACAGTCAGTATGTTAAACCTTTGTTGATTAGAAGTTATACATTGTTTTAAACACAAACCGTTTTGTTAAACTCAAGATAAATTTTAAAAAATACTGTCCACAGCTGACTGGATATAAATTTTGACAGGAAGGTAATCTCTGATTTTATTTCTTAGCCGGAATATTTCTTAAATATCTACAGCTTCATTTTTGCTTCCTTAAGACAATCTAAAATAATGTCAAATACTAGATTTAAATCGTTTTTACCTAACTTAGTTGTTTCAACTCAGTATATGCATCTTATTTTAGATAGAAACATAATTCAAATTACGTATATCGAAAAGCTTACGATTTCTTGTCATAAACTAGTGTAGAACCTTCCTTATGCTTGGTAATAGATTCTGACAGTCATATGAGTCACTAAATCCAAAGGTACTGCGATCTGTCAGCAGTTCATTCTCAACTTTTATCTATTCCTCGATCCATGGTTTGGTATTTTCAAATTTATTAAGAATTTAGTTTGCAAGTATAAATAGCTCCCTTCATTATATTTACAATACGTTAATTCTTCTTTAAAACTATCCATAGCGATATTAGATATTTTGTCCACTGGTTCCTCTAAAATGTGTATATATGTATGTATCTTCAAGTTCTAAAATAACAAATTGTGCACAACCTACTTTGATCTGATGCCTGAAACTTAAGATTACAATCAAGTTGTAATTCTACACTTACATTACTAAGGTATTCTGAGTTGTCTTAAAGTTTGTGTATGACTTGTTAGAAGCTTATCAAGTAAGAATACATCTTTAAGTGATCTTCGGGTAAATCAGATTTGCACTTATTTTTCAGAGTCTAGTGTTTTTAACCACTAGCGAAGCACCTTTGTCTTCTCTGATTACTGCGATATTACATAATTTAGTATTTTAACAAAGGTCACAATAAATTTAATTCGGATGCACAACTATTCAATTTGCCACATTAATTAGGAAATAAATGTAGAATCGAATCATGAATGAGTAATGCCAAAGTCGTATATAAAGAATAACCATCTTAAGTTTAATGACGTGTATTACCTTTTTTGTTAGTCGGATGGGTTCTATATTATCTTGACAAGTGTGACCAGTCAACATCAAAAACCAAATGAAGACATTCATCATTTCCTCAAATACGTGACAAGAAACTCTATGACGATGAAGAAAGAAGGGATGTAAAATAGTAAAAAACAGGTGGACAGTAAAATTTTACACTTACTGTTATTTCTTAAATTTTGTCTTCGTTGAATTTACTAACAAAACAGCTTTCAGATTAGCATTTAATATCAAATTCCTTAATTCTATAAGTCCGTAAACAATAAAAACCATGGTGTAGGATATGCCTTTTTTATCCCGGACTGACATTATGCAAGCAGCAATTAAAATTAGGAAGAATCAGAGAGTAGTTTTGTTTCGATTCGAGAATATTTGATAGAGAATATTTTGTATTCGAAAGTATGACCTCCTGTCGTAGAGGCACGGGTGTAACTCATTGATTGAATCGCCAAGTGGTTTGATAAAACTAAAAATTTTATGAACTTAAACAGCTGTTAAACAGATAAACATTTACCCTCATT